ACCCCAAACAATCCATGGTGGGCAGCCGGAAGAAGTTATAAGCAGATGATAGAGGAACTAGATCCAGCACAGAGGGCATGTTATGAGTTCTGTCACCTAGGGAGCTACATCTGGCAGGCCCTATGCAGCAGGCCTTTTCTGCTGTGGCACCCACACTATGGAATCTTCTCCCTGCCTTGGCGTTGTTGGCCTCTTCGCTGTTGAGCTTCCGAAGGTCCCTCAAGACCTGGTTATGCCAGCAGGCCTTGGGACCCCAGGGGATGGGTGAGCTGGTGAGGTGGCTCCATTAGTTTTAACATCTCTTCCTCTGTTGTTATTTTTTTTAGTTGGTTTTTATATCTTTTAATATATTTATTGATTGTTTTTAGCCTTGTATACCACCCAGAATCGCTTGCTGGTGAGATGGGCAGCTATATAAATTGTATAAATAAATGAATAAAATAAATAGAGGAAGCGGTGAAGAAGGCAGTGGTTCACAGGCAGATGTGAAAAGTCTGAAGCACACCAGCTGTGGCTGTTGGCAAGGCGTGGGGGATGACAGGGAGAAACATAATAGCATCACTTTCTCTGTTAATCCAATCCCACTTGTTGTGTTGTCTGAATGTGATCTGAGTCTTGTTTCCTCTCCCTTTTGTTCTGTGTTGCATGAAGAGATCTAGCATATTCAAATGCTTGTACATTATTACTTGCCCTTGACTTGAACTAACATTAAGTATTGCCCTAATTTGGATGTTAGCGTGTATGAACGAAGCATTCAAGTGGTTCCAGATTGGAAATCATGTAGTCATGTAGTTCACTAAGTGGAATATTTATGTTTAGAGATGATAGATCTCTGAATACCAGATGCTGACAGCAGACAATAGGGGACAGCTGTTGACTAATCATTACATGTCCTGCTTATAAATTTACCAGAAGCATCTGGCTGACCACTGTTGGAGACAGGATGTTACATTAGCTAAGGAATATCCTGATTCTGCAGAGCGTTTACAGAATCTGAATGTCTTCCTTGCCTTCACTTCTGGTTTGCTGAATGTCCTCTAATTTGCCATAAAAAGAGTTTTGACTTTTTAGATATTCAGTACTGCCCACGCTAAATCCTTAGGAAGAATTTATTTTGAAGTATTTTTAAGCTTTCTAAAGTTCAGTGTATGGGCGCATTTCATTATGAAATAGATCATAACTGATGCCACTCGAAGTTCACCCTCTTGCACACAAAAATGTCCACTCAACACTTTGGTACAATCTGTGGTACAATTTTTTGGTTGGGAGGGGAGGGAGAACAGGTACCGAATTTATGGCATGCTAAAAATAAATGTTCTTCAGAGCATCAAAAGCCTCTTCATGCATCGTAACAACATCTCTGAAGGACAGAAATAAAAGGAGTTCAGTTAATTGGAATATGATTCCCTCTGTTTCCAGAGTTCAAGTATAAGAACTTTTCTCCCCCCCACCTGTCTCTTACTGTAGAATTTACACTGACATAGGCACACAAGCATTTTGGATATCAAGTGAGTAAATATCTTTATTTCTAGTGGTGTGCAAAACCCCCAGGAAGACAAAAATCTGACACTAATAACCCCGTATTGGATGTGCCTCCAAATATGACTTGTTTCTGTCAAAAGCTATCCAAGGCAAAATAGCCTTTGGAAGCCCCACAGAGATTCACAAAGCTGCCTTTGATTTCTCTTTTTCTAGCCAATTTAATATATTTTTAAAATCTTCCACAAGTTTCTTCAAATTATCCATAAATGAAAAAGGTTTGCCATATTGGTGGATGGTAGGCAATAAACTATATTGTATAATTCTAGGTTGGCTATAGCTTCCAACCAGCCTTCCCTTATGGCCTTTTAGGACATTTCTGTAAAAATGAAGCACTGACATTTTTTTGGGGGGGGGACTTTGCACAAAATCTCTTGACTTCTCTGTCTGCCTGAGATTTATTGGGATTCATCCCCAAAGAATAGGTTCCTGTGCTAGCAAATTAGATCAGTTCAAACAATAAGCAAAAAACAAACAATAGTTATTTGATGCTCCCAACTTACTCCAAGCCAAATCAAATCACGAAATCATGGTGGTCAAGGGCCAAATGCAAGAGTGCACATATGACTTTTCATTAAGATTAAAGGGGTGGGCAAATATCAGTGCCATCTGTGGGCCCTCTAATTCCATGCAGCCTTTGGCTTTATTTCAGAAGCCCTCTGTAAGCAAACAGTTGAGACTCTTAGCAGGAGTAATCTCTGCTAAGTACTCTGCTGGGCGTGGAAGGCCAGAAAACCATGAGAAACAGAAAGGCACAGAGAAGTATCAAAAACAGTGACACAGTGAACAGGAAGATGGCAGAAAACAAATACGTGTGTGTGTGTGTGTGTGTGTGT